GCACTCGTTCTCTCGGTCGGGGATCGTAAACTCGAGGAACGGGAAGTTTCTTAGCTGAAAAATTCTCGTAATTCCAGTTCAACCCATTTGATAAAAATCTAGTTTTCTCTTATCTTGTTGTTCTTAATTTGCTACCTACCGGTCTCCAGAAGCTCGCGTAATCAGCTGGGTCTTCGCCTTCATAGCCGGTCAGCGCCACGCTGGCCTGAAAAAAACAAAGGTAGCTGAGTCAGTTAACAGAGAAAATTTAGGAAATCAGTTTGTAAACTGGAATTTTTAATCCATGTTTAAGCCAAAAAATCTTGACGATATTCCAAGATCTAACAAAATCAAAGAAACGTACAAAAGCCGGTGTCGGAATGACATCCAATCCCCACTGCTCCTCCATATCCATCTCGCTAGGCCGGTTGTCCTCGTTCTCAAACTCGGCCACCCAGTTGTCCATGTAATATCGGAAGGGGCCGTGGACGAAGTCGAGCTTTTTCGCGTGACGGGCCACCTTCAATCAATTCTGAAGTTCCATCTGGAAATCGAGGATTAAAGCGTCAAAAAGCGTCAAAAAGTCGGAAAGCGTCAAAAAGGAAGCGAAAACCCTCAATTTGACCTACCTTTCGGTCATGTGCCGACAGTGTGTAGCTCCAAAAGTCCGGGAACGTCCTCGTGAACCGGTTGACGAAGTCGAACTGCTGCTTCTTCGTGTCGAATGATCGTTTGGCGACGATACAAACTTTCCCATCTTGATGTCGACACGTTGCTGTGCATCTGGAGATTTATGGATTAACACTCGAGAGGGAGAGAGAGCGAGAGAGAGAGGGAGGAGAGAGAAAGAGCGAGACAGAGTGAGAGAGAGAGATCAGAGAGCGAAAGAGATGAGAGAGAAAAGAGATACTTACCTAGTTTTAGCATCATAGCATCCAGACAACTTCGGCACGACCGGCACCAGTAGCTGAGGTTACAAGCTTTGCAAAGAGTTAAGCTTTGTTCACATCTGGAAATCGAAGCCTTTGCAATAACTTTTGACAATATTTATTACAAAAATTTTAGGATAATTAGGTAATAGAAATAGCAATATGAAAAATAGGGAAATCTACGTTCTAATGAAATTTGAAAAACGGACTTGGCTGCATTTTTTATGGCTTAGTAGTTATCGAATACTCGCGTGTAAGTTTAACTTACCCCAAAGCATCGTAAATATATTCCCCTTCGACTTCTGGCCCGAAATCGTCGGGTGAGCATGATGTTGTTAACACTCTGGCGTCCGGCCTGTCGTCGCGAAGTCTTGGCTGCTCGGGCGAGTTCTCCTGTGGATTCTATTTCAGGTATCGATTTTTAAGGCAATTATTATTTTAGCTTAAAAATCGCAAAGAAAACAATTAGAGAGCCAGCAAGGTTATTGACTACTTCCGGTACAAAATCTAGGAGTTAAAACTCACCCAAGCCAGCGTAACCGTCAGTTCGTCCATTTTTGTGTTCGCATAAAAGGGGAGCGGCTTCAAATCAGCGAACATCTAAAATAATCTTGATTTCCGTCGAAAACTAATAACCTACCGTCCCGCTCCTTCGCAAATCCACCTTTTCAAGCAGGTTGGTTTTGCGTAGACCTTCTCGCGAAGTTCCACCGGAAGCCATTCGAACGGGAAGCCGGATTTCGAGGAGCTCGGGCTTGGTGTTTCTAAAATTTCTTTGGATGTTGAAGCATGTTAATAACTGGTTAAACAATTGATATTTAGCTATCTACATAGGTTACAAACAAGAAAAATTTAATGAAAAACTAACCTCTTGCCGGCGTGGCTTTCCGAGATTTGATAAAATCGTAAGGTCTCCGCATATCTTCAGGGTCCGAATTATTGATGTTTGAAAATGACGTTTGCTCTTCTTCCTCCATATTTCCGGCTTCACATCTGCGTCTTTATCACGTGCCACTATATTTTACGTTGAAACACTAATGCCTTTTGGTGCGAAAATCAATAGTGTGCCTGTTCGGCGGGATTAAATTTGAATATTGATTGACACGCTGATAAGACGAAAACCACTTTGTAACTAATTTTTTGTAAAGAATAAAAATAAATTGACTACTAAAATACCCGAGCGCAAACATTGGACACGAAAGGGGGAATCGATTACGCCATGTTTTTGGGGTGTCGATTGAAGCGGAGTGGATTTTACAGGGCATGTGGAGAAAGATAACGTTGAAAACTAGTTAAATTAAACTTATCTAAGCCTTTATAAACACATTTTGTGAAAGTTTAATTTTCTGTACTCGATGTAATGGATATTCGAAGCCGGACGATTGGCCGTGGCGGTTTTGGTGCCGTTTATGAGGTGGATGGGCACAGCAAGTAAATTTTGGCCGTGAATTAAAAAGTGCTGAAAATACTGTAACCACAATCGCGATCCAAAAAGCTAAAACGATAATTTCTGTACATATTTCTGTGTTTAGAAGGCTGGTCGTGAAAAAGCTCAACTGCTCAGCCACAGAATTCGACAAGGAGCTGAAAACCTTGAAGCTACTGATGCACGAAAACATCGTCCGCTTCTATGAACAGCCAGAAAATTACCAGCCTGACCATGCCGGCGAATTTTCGATTTTCATGGAGTACTGTGAATGTGGGACGCTTTATTCAGGTATTTGCCGGCTACGGTTTACCTTACCCCCACCCCTGTCGGTTTTTGCTATAACTTTTTTATTTTTCATTATTGTAGGCTCAAATTAAAACTCTTAGTATATTTTTCGACGCTCTATCGAATGGCGTTGCAAAAATCCCGACAAAATAAGCGAAAATACCGAAAACTTTGAAACCCTTTGGCTGTGGAGGGGGTAAAGTAAACTCTTACCTATTGGCCCCCAAAGTGGTTGAATTCAGTTAATTCTAGTAATCACCAACCCCGAGATTGTCTATACTGACGGAACACTAATTTTCTGGGCTATGGGATTATTCGATGCCCTAAAATACATGGAAAAAAAGCGGATTGTTCACTATGATATTAAACCGGAAAAGTAAGTCGTTTGGGAGTAGCGTCATGGAAATACAGTATTTTCCTAAACCGTGATTACACCCCAAAAATCGGGGATTTCGGAATAATGCGGATGGCGGATGATCCGGATTTTACACTTCGCGGAACTGCCGCCTATATGGCTCCGGAAGTTAGGCAAGAGAGAGTGGTGCCCATTGAAGTTTGTCGGGCACATTTTATTGCTTTATAAAATACCTTAAGCAACGTTTCAAGTGTGATATCTATGGAATGGGACTGGTTATTTGGGAGACAATGACGAGAAGGTAAGGGCTTGAAAATCCGAATTTTAGGCCGGCTCTCAGCTTCAGAGACCTTCAGAGCTAACCGTAATAGGCTTTAGACCTTTTCTACGAAAAGAAAAATACTACAACCAGGAAGATCAGCAAGGAAATACCCCAGGAGCGCAGCTCTTATCCCTTGTGCAAAAGTAAGCTTTGATCTAACGCTCTATAAAAAATTAGGGCCTGCGAAGAGGATTTTCAGAAACGACCAAGTGCAAGTGAAGTTTTGATGCTGCTTGAAAACCTGGTTAGTCGCTAAAACCTCCCGAATCATCGCTTCAGGTCCCTAACCACAAACACTCGATCGAGATCCGATTCAACCACAAAATTCTTCTCAAACCAATCGGGCTGGATGGAAGGAATATTGAGGTCGCTATCCAAGAAGTCATCCACGTCCCAGCCGCCTCAATCTGGGGAGCGTCAAGCATGGGGCAACAAGTTTTTGAAGCGAAAAGCGAACAACCAGCGGAGCCCTACCCAAAATTTCAACGCTGGTTGGAGACGCTGGAGCTGGAGACGGACTTCGATGATTTGATCATGAACTTTCGGCTACGGGGTCATCAATATTGGTGAGTAAGGGCATCACCAGAATTTTTGACCATTTTATCAAATTAATCGTGCTAAAAATTTTTGTGGCAAGATGGAAATCCCACCAACGCCTGTTCTAGGACCGAGCGTGGCTGGCAACTCAGCCTGGACGCGTGGGACAACATGGTTCCGGACTTGTGGATCTCCTCCTCTTTAGATTCTGATCCTGGCTACAACCTGCCGGGTGCCCGCTTCCGGGAGCATTTTTGGGAGGCAGATTTCGGTAGCCAAAAAATCAATGGAATCCGGCGTGCCATCGCTGAGACGTTCAAGGTCTGAAAATTTCAGATGTCATGAAATCTTCATCTAGGCCAAAACTCCATCGGGCGAGGTTCCAAAACACGCCAAAAACTACGAAGCAGCCCTAAGTAAAGAAGGAAACTTTGATGCGATCCCGCTACCCGATAGCCTCAACTCGAAGCAGTATTCGCTATTCCTGCACGCTCCCTTTCTACAGTTGCTCTGGCTCGATGCGACGCTGTTCGATTGCGCATGGAGCTTCGCGTTTTACACAATGACGCGGCATCCGGATTTTTGTTGCCTGGGATGGACGCGGGATTGGAAACTACTTACCGAACGGGCGCTGAAAAACGTTGAAGAGGCCGCCAAGTTCGGGTTGAAGGTTGTTGAGTGCAGTACGGGCTACGAGGTGGCGACGGCGACACCGTATGGCGTCAATCATCCCTGGATGAGCTGGCCGGGCACCAAGTGGGAGATTCGGATGGATTTCGAGGGTAAGGTTAGGTCGGCATCGTTTTTGGGGCTACCCAGCCGGAAGGTTTGGCTATAACTTTTTTATTTTACATTATTGTGGGCTCAAATTAAAACTATTAGTATAATTTTCGACGCTCTATCGAATGGCGTTGCAAAAATTCCAACAAAAATACCCAAACTTTCAGGCCCGTCGGCTGTGGGGGGGGGGGAAGGGGTGAAGTACTAGCATTTTTGGCTTGTTATGTGCTGCATTCATTGCAAGCTGGTGCAACCGAATTTCCACAATCCTAATATTTTATAGCTGTGCGACGGGCCAGCGTGAATTCGGCCCGTTACGGGTCGCAGTTTACCAGACCGGTCGGTGAAATTCTAAAGCGCGCCCTGGCCGATCGGGTGAGATCTATGGGTCGATTCGATGCGTATCCAGAGATCGAGAATTGGGCCTCGCATGAGAACGTGAGGTCGCGGTAAGTTTTATGAACTTTGTTGCATTTGGTCGATTGTGGCTTGTAAAATGGACAGGAAAGGAATCATAAACCTTGGAAAAACAGCAAATTGCTTCTTTAGGTGGGCTGAGCGCTGGGATCGCGTAGAAGAATTGAAGACCCTGCCTTTCAAATACGTTTTCAACCCCAACCGGCCACCGACAGTCGGCGATGAAAGAGCATGGCCGTTTAGCTTGAAGGTAAGTGAAGCAGCGTTACTATTTAACACCTCATAAATTCTAAAAAATCGCTCTTTGCTCTACGACGATTCAAAACTGTTTTAGACCCAGTGGGATGCTCCGCCCCCTAAATCCACGGCACTCCCAACACCTCAACAAAAGGCATTCATCGATGCTCACGCCTTCTATGAACGCGCTTTTCGCTACCTAATCTATTGGCAGTTGCGTCAAAAACAATTTGTTCTACACTTGCTCATCGACGATTTACTCGCCAAAACCGAAGCAATTGACAATGATATCCCACCCTACCCAATTTTTGTGATGGGGAATGGTGCCCACTTCGGTGCCCTACTCGTGTTGTGGAAGAAGGAGTCCCTCGGGTTTGATCCTGAAGTTCCGCTACTGCGCGGGCCGGGCTTCACACCTATACAGATAATTGATGCGGGTTTGGCCAGATCGATATTTCGTAATTATCTCTATAGCTCTACACCTTGAGGATGCGCATTATTATGGCAAAAACACCGACGACGAATGGGTTCGAGTTTCATAATTTTCATGAAGGTTTGGTGATTTTTTACAGTCCCACCAACTTCGTCAAAAATGGGATGATCGAATATATCCGGATTTGCCAGATTGCTATACGGGTGGGTAGCTTCATATTTTCATCGATTTGCTATCAGTTTGTCAAAAAACATCTTTGTCGAAAGACCACTTGCGGAAATTTGATTTTGTCGAAATTTCCTTTTGTCGAAACTTCAATTCCTCTTTCACTTCGATTATTCTAGCTAGCAGTTTGTCGAAAAGCGCTTTGTCCAAATTTAATTTCGTCAAAACTTTAATGCGCTGAAACTATGAAACGATGAAACTATCATTTTTTTTCAGGCGTCATGATGGTCCATTTCTCGGAACTGCGGCCGATGTTGCAAAAAATCGCCGCCCGGTTGCGCGTGTTTATCAAAATGGGCGACCCCAATTGGGTGACTACAAAATTCAGCTTGATGACGTGCAGCTCGCAGGTAATTTTCAACACGATTTTCGAAAAATAGTTGATTCAGAGAAAATGGCCTACGAGCAAGATAGGCAACAAGAATTTGACAATTTTTGGAACTCGCGGAAAATCATAAAAGTAAGAAATATCGGTCGTTAAATGTGGACTTTACATAGGTAGCTGACGTGAAAGTTGACGAGCTGAAACGCGAGATTATCGCCTTGCAATCAAAACGCGACGATGCTGTGCGGTCATCCAAACCTAGAAAAAAGAAAAGGGCGCAAAGGAGGGAGAACAATCTCTTTGCATCGCCTTCGGCATCGATTCAGAGCTCGTCGAAGCCTGGCTCCTCGTAAAGGACATGGTGGTTAGCACGCTGGCAAAGATTTAGCATCAAGCTCCATTTCTCTTTTCTTTTCTGCGACATGGATAGAATTCGTGGTGTGATCCGAATGCTATAAACTTTATCTGAACGCCTGCCAACAAGGGACATCCTTGTGTAAAAAACCCCTCTGATATCTATACAAATCCATACTGCTGCCAGGAATCGGCAGACTTGCCGTACGATCCAAAACGCTTATTTCATCGGAGAAAAGTTCCATGACAGTTTCCTTTGGCAAGACATCGAGCTTCGTTTTCTCACTTTTAATGATATAAAATGTCATGTGCTGCCGGCACTTTAAAAATTCAGGTTTATTTTTGAGCGTATACATCACCGAAAAACGACGGTCATTTCAGGTCCGGGTTCCTAGCCCAAAAGGCTTATTTTACGTTCCCCAAACAAGGCGCCCAAAACCGAGGAGTGTACAGCCATCGAGCGCACTTGTTTGCCAGCCTTATCGGGTCCTTGACAGCGCTTCTCACGGGGAATCCATTATCACAGGACAATTTTTTTTCCACTGGCCCGCCAGTTGCCGATTCGTACAAACGTTATTAGTAGGCCAAAGCCTCTAAAGCGGGGATAGATACAGTCTAGCATTATCGTCCGCTTCATGTAATCGAAACCAGTTGGCAAAAACCATGAAGTCAAGTGACAAGCAGAAAAAATTAGGTTAGAATTTGCTTTATGGCATCCCCTTTCTCAATGCCTATCCTTGCATCGGACGAGACCTCAATTTTAGACTCCCTCCTCAACAAGCTTTTAAAACATGGGGACAGAGAGGTGCTCGACGATGGTAATTATGGAATTGTTGAAGCGGTGAACTGGCGGGGAAAGTAAGTAGTGTTAACGAGCTCGGCGATCTGAAGGATATAAGAACCTGAAGGCCAGGGCAAACATTGCCAACTTGCACGCAAGTTTGTTTGCCAGGAACTTTATTTGATCCGGCCAAGCTATTTTGTTGGCAAGTAAACTTGGGATGCAAACTCAACTCGATGGCAAAATAACTTGCCAAGTTTTGACTCGAATGCTGGCAAGTTTTTGTGGTGGCAAGTCAACTTGCCATGCAAACTCAGTTTGAAGGCAAGTTAGCTTGCCTGCAAAATAACTTGCCGGAAGTCGCGTGATGTTAATTTAGGCAAAATCGAAATTGTAAGCTGACAAGGGACCCTCAAGTTGGCACGGTGGAGTTTCGAAAAACGCTCGCGGCTACCCCTAGGTTTTCGACTATGGCGATTCCAACGCTCTAGTCAGAATTTCCTAAATGGGCCTCTGGACAGAGATACAGCACTTCCGGAAAATGATGATTTACATCCGAAGAATTAGCATTAGCGGTAGGTTTATCAGGCTCTCCCGTCACTATGGAATCACCAGTTGAATGGCCGAGTGGTAAGCGAATCACTTGATAGGATACTGACGAGGGTTCGAATCCGCTCACGATTTTTTTATTTTGCTTTTTGACCGGAACTTTCTGCCCAACCCCGACTTTTGGTTACTTTTTTCGAAAATTCGTTCTCTTTCTAAAATGTCTAAAAGTATTGGGAAAGCCAAAAAAATGCAAAAAATTTCGAGGGAGTTTTTTGCCTTCTTGGGAGAATTCAGCCTGGGAGCATAAAGAAAAATATTTCCTATAGTCAAAATAAAAAGTTGGAGTTGGGCAGAAAGTTCCGGTCAAAAGGCAAAATAAAAAATCGTGAGTGGATTCGAACCCTCGTCAGTATCCTATCAAGTGAGTCGCTTACCACTCGGCCATTCAACTGGTGATTCCATAGTGATGGGAGGGCCTCATAAACCTATCGCTAATGCTAATTTTTCGGATGTAAATTATCTTTTCCGGAAGTGCTGTATCTCAGTCCAGAGGCCCATTTAGGAAATTCTGACTAGACCGTTGGAATCGCCATAGTCGAAAACCTAGGGGTAGCCGCGAGCGTTTTTCGAAACTCCACCGTGCCAACTTGAGGTTCCCTTGTGAAATAGACAGTATGGCAATTCCAAGACATGGATCCTGGTGGAAAATGCCGACAGTTGAATGGAAATGAAGACATCGAGTTGAGTTTGCATCCCAAGTTTACTTGCCTGAAAATAATTTGCACCAAAATGAGCTCAAATCATTCGAGTAGACTGGAAGGCAAGTCGCAGTTTGCATAACTTTTGGCAAGTTAACTTGCATTCAAGTCAACTCATATAACAACCCTAGTTCTTAGGTGACCTTGAAATTTTGCTATGTGACAAAGCTCATTTGCTAGAGCGTCAAACTGCTGAACGACAAGTCTTCGAGAATAAGTTTTTCGGATTCGAATTTTGTTAAGCGGGGCCAAAAGAGTTCGAAATCGGCGCTTTCATAGCGAGTTTTCTCGAAAACCGTAGTTGTTCAGTAGTTTTCAAAGATGGGATCTACAAAGAATTTCAAGCTCTATTCAATGAGCTATGTCACGTCGCCAACTTCGATGGTCACCTAAAAACCCTCCCTTTGTTAGAGCCGTATTCTGAAGCTGACCCTAATCGGCTTGCCAGTAGTTTAAAATAGGTTGATGGCGGTGAAAGCATCGAAAAGTCGCGATCAAAAAGACGAGTTGGGCATAATGGAAGCCTTGGTGCATGTAAATGTCGTGAAGCTCTACCTACGGCCCAGTGATTACCCCACGGACCCGAACGGCGGGACACTGATTTTCATGGAGTGTTGCGAATGCGGAAACTTGAAAACTGGTGTGCCATTCATCCAATTTGTCAACTGTGATGCGAGATTTTAGCAATCAAAAACGCTGAACTGGTCTACAACGTGGCAACCGTCATCACCTGGGCAACAGGGCTATATGATGGATTATCGCACATTGCAGAGGCCGGCATAGTGCATCACGACATCAAGCCGGCAAAGTCGGTCTTACTTGAAAAACAGGCATACCTAAAATAGGCCGGCAGGTAGAAAAGAGTGGTCCCGATTGTTGTCAATATTTCGTGGTCAAAATCCGTCACATTGATCCGGCATCGGCAAAACAAAATTTAATTGGAGATAACGTTTTTGTTTAAAATATCCTAACCATAGAATTTGGCCAAACACCGATGGCCATTTTCTTCGGGCATTGCATGACTTTTTCCAGTATCCTCTTGGACCGCAAGTACCTCCCAAAAATCGGTGATTTCGGCGCAATGCGGATGACGAGCAGCCTAGATTATAGCCGTAGAGGAACCGCCAACTATATGGCTCCCGAAGTCGATGAACAAAGGATGGTTCCTGCAGATGTTCGCGCTTTTCTTTTTAGAAACAACTCTTTTTAGCAACGCCCAAAATGCGACGTCTACGGTATGGGTCGTGTCATATGGGAGACAATGACGCGCACGTAAGCCACCCGTATTTCGGTCGTAAAGCCGCGGAAGAGCTGCCAGGAAGAATGTCACTTGTAAGAATGTCAAGTTTAGCATGTTGGGCGACAAGAAAGCATACGAGTATGATGAGCATGGTCCTCACAATGAGCTAGCCGCTACCCTCCAGAAGCTTGTGCAAAAGTAAGAACGAGAACATTTTTGTACGGCAGATGGTAGGGCATGCGAAAAGGATTACAATGTTCGGCCGACCGCTCACGAACTGTTTGGTTCCTATAAAAAATTGGTTGGTGCACGATTTTTCTCTTGCCATTGCACTATTTAAAGAGGATGTGTGAGGAGGACCCTACGATTGTATGGATTCCTAAAATTTTGCTAGTTTTGACGGGATTTGGGAGCACGTAGCCAAGCTTCTGGCGAAAACTTCGTTTAGAAATGTGACTATCGACACTCAGTGGAGCACCGTTATGGGAACATCTTTCTGTTTCCGCCTGATGGACTGCCTCGTACCAGCACAGATAAACCCAGCACCGAGGACGCATCAATTTCCGGCCGGCCGAGCGGGAATTTTGATTCAATGTCGAAGGGCACTGGAGGAACCAAAGATAAGGTGACGCACGGACTGGTTAGTGGAGAAGCGCCCAGCTTTCAGCGCCCTAACGTAGAAACACCCGACAAGGAAGCGGTTGATAGCGACAAAATCGGCTCCTCTGAACTCCTCCCTACGAATGAAAGTTGGGCGGAGGATTCAAGCCTTGCGGATGGCTCCAAAGTTGAAACAATGAATGATGCCCTAGAATTGGTATCATAATGTCGAAACTCATAATGTCGAAATTCATAATGTCGAAATTTCATAATGTCGAAATTCATAATGTCGAAATTTCATAATGTCGAAATTTCATAATTTCGAAATTTCATAATGTCGAAATGTCATAATGTCGAAATTCAGAATGTCCAAATTTACATAGGCTAATATTACCGGTGAAACCGCCAAATCCTAGCCAAAAAAATTTTTCCACATGCTATTTTTTTATCTTATTTCACGACAACATTTTTTTGCCTAGAATTCGGGGACTTTACCGGGAATTTTAGCTTATGTAAATTTCGACATTCTGAATTTCGACATTCTGACATTTCGACATTATGAAATTTCGACATTATGAAATTTCGACATTATGAAAATAAGCCGATGCCCTAAACGGCCGGCAAGCAATTTAAATCTCAACCCTGAAAAAATTTCCGAAACTGCAACATTGGTGGCATCGTAAACTGGATGCAGATTTTGCGGACTTGATCATGAATTTTCATATTGCATATGGCTACTGGTAAGCGGAAAAAAATTAGACAACTGTCAGTCCTTTCTTTACTTACACTCCAATTCATGCAGGACCGAGCGAAGCGGGCAGATGCTTTACGAAAATGGGTGGACTGACTGGTTGCCACATCTCAAGCTCGCGTCAGTGTGGCAACAGCTGCCTCGAGAATCGCTGTTAGATGCCCCCTTCCGCGAGCATTTTCTGGAAGCCGATTTTGGCAGTGGAAATATCGAGCGCCTGCGTTGCGCATTGGTAGAAGCATGCTTGGTTAGTGGTCGCTTAAGAATTCGAGAGAAGTTTTTTCTTTAGGCAAATGGTATGGATAAAGCCTTTCTGAATCGTGCTAAAGAAATCGTCGGAAGATTGGACGACTACAGTTGCTTAAAAGAAGAGTATATAAGCGTCCACTTCCAAGATAATCCTGTGCTGCAACTGCTCTGGCTGGAAGCTGTCTTAGTTGATTGTGCATGGCATTTTGCAATGTACACTATGACCCACCATCCAAACGCCTGCTGTTTGGGGTGGACTCAGGATTGGCAGATATTCACGAGTATTGCCCTAAAAAATGTGCAAGCTGCGGAGAAACTGGATTTGAAAATTGTACGCCTGGAGTCCGGATTCATGATCGCAACGGCAACATCGTACGGGACGAATCCCGCGTGGATGGTTTGGCCGGGGACAGAATGGGATGTTCAATGCGACTTTAAAGATAAGTTACAAATATGATCTCCCAAAGCGACCCGACCTCCACCTCGGTTATTCTGTAAGCAATCTGGATTCTGGAATTTTTCTCAGGAGGCAGAGTTGAACTACCCCGTTATACTTGATAGTTGTTCTTCCGTTCGCTTTCGATTTCTAAAAACAAAAACAAAAACCTGGTATTTGATTTTAGCCGTTCGTCCTTCCGCCTCGCGTGAAAATTGGCACCGGATTGGCTTGGTGCAACCCGACGTGCATCAGCTAAAGCCTGCGTTGGACGATCGGAAGCGCTCAATGGTGAATTTTGACGCTTGGCCGAAACCAAGCGACTGGAGTACAATGAAGCTGATAGGACGGAGGTAGTATGCGTCTGTGATTTTTCTTTTTTCTGCTATTTCCTTGCAAACTTTATTTTAGATTCGAAGAACGATGGGACTCTGTCGCTGAATTGAAGGAACTGCCGCTGAAATACATTTTTAACCCAAATAAGCCGCCCACCGGCGCGCAATCAGATATTTGGGGCGTCGCTGCGAAGGTCGGTCAAGTTCTTTTCATGAACTGTCCCACAATAAGCAGGGAACTATGCAACAAAAGAAAGACGAGCCCATGCTACAAGACTTCCTCGACGCTCATGCGTTTTATGAGAGGGCGTTCCGATACCTAATGTATTGGCAGTTAGAGGAGATGCACTATGTCCTCTATTTACTTATTGGAAAACTCCTAAACGACGACAAATGGAAGATGGTAATGCCGAAATACCCGTTCTTTGTGATGGGAAATGGACATAAACTTGGTGCTATGCTTCGGCTTTGGGATAGAGACACCGACACAAATGCTCAGATCCCAAAATTAATCGGAAGAGGCTTTCACCCAGTGTCGCTGGACGACGAAGGTTTCAAGTTCAAATCACGAATCGCATGAGTTTTTAGCACTCCGTGTCGAAAATGAGCACTATATGAAGACGAGTAGACGTGATTGTGAAATGGAAGCGGTAAATTCGCTTGACACACCGACGCTACAGCCTATTTTCCAGAACAAACAAATTGATCGAAAATGGGATTTTGTGGCCTACGCTGATTTTCCGGACGCATTTGCTGGTTCGTGCAAAGCTTCCTAAATCTGAAATCTGAGAACGATGGGGGAACTTTGACTGCCAAAGCCTGCAGACAGCAAATGTTGCATTGAACCCTCAAGCAATTTTTTAGGCGTGATGATGGTGGATTTGTCTGATCTGCGCGCGATGTTGCAAAGCATGTTCGACCGATTGCGGAAGCTTGTCAAAATGGGCAACCCCTATCTGAGCGAGGAACAGATCCAGCTTCAAAATGAGCGCGACAAAGGTTACTTTCCACGCTGCATCGATGGATGTGTTAAGATCACAAGGACTACAAAGTATTTATGGCAACCACCATTGACGCTTTTTGGAATTCAAGGAAGATAACGAAGGTATCATAAAAATCCATGATCATCTATTTGCTACTAGGTCCTCGACATTCACGTCGAAAAACTGAAAGCAGAAATCAATGCATTTAACGCGAAAAGAAGATAGATTGATGATAGATTGCAGAAACACCACCATATTTTTTGCAAGCTCCAATGCGGCCTGTCTGGATGATGAAAATAAATAGGCCATCGCAGAAAATGTCGCAACGGCATGGAACCGTTCGCAAGTGCCGGCGGTGCTGCTCCAAATAATTACAGCGTGACGCAAAACATGTGTACACAAGCAAAATAAAACAAACCCCAAAACCAATCTTCGTCTAATAATGCGAGGCAGGTTTTCACTAGGAATCGCCGGGGCGCTAACTTTGGAAACACAGCCTCGAAAGTGTGTGCCAAATTATCGTTTCTGGGTCGCCATTTGTGCTAAATACATTGTTCCGCTCCGATACAACCAAACATTTCTGTTGCGCCAAAGAACCGCCAGGGGACCCCCAGAAATCGGCCAAGGTCCGAAAGTTCCTAGGGTGCGTTTGATTTTTTTCTCAAAAAATGTTTCCGCCTGCGGCGCTAGTTGTTAAAGGGATCAGCAAGGGGGCCAATAGATCAGAGGCCATCTATAATTAGCTACTGGCCAACCGGAAATGCAAATGAAAAAATGAGCAGAGAGTGGGTCGAGGCAGAAGGAAGCAGAGAATATCCTACTATATATATAAAAAATAGTGTCTGTGTGTGTGCCACTTTGCATGCAACTTCCGTCACCGTGTCCGGAGGATATCTCAAGAGGGGAAGGGATGAAGGGGGCGTATGATATGTCATTAGACGCGTAATGGCGTGTAGATGACTGCACGCATACCAGATTTTGCAATTGCGATTGTTTTCGATATAAAAATTAAGTTTTTCCTTAAAAATCGGACAACCTCTTTGTTAGGAAAAAATTAGCATACGCCGGAAGTGGGAGTAGCCTATATAATCAGGGAGAGGACGCACTTTTCATTTCTGTGACATAAAAGTGCGGAAAGTTTATGCAAAGCGAGGGATATCATAGCGTTGGACGGGGCCAGGGTTGATGCTAATTTTGGAACCAAAGAATGTTATTTTTCCTGGGCGTTCCTGATCTCTTGAAGGTTGTTAAACGTAAGCTCAAAAATTTTTTTTTCCAAAGTTTTTCGCTAGCGGCACTGTTTTTTGGTGTAAGAATCTTGGCTCGAATTTTGTTCGCCCCCTCCCCGACCTTTTTTCTTCTGGCTACACCGCAGCCCGTGAATTTCTGAAAGGAGAAAACCGCCTTATCGGCACGCCGGCCGGTCCTCCAAACCATTTTCTTCCAAGAGATTCCAGTTGGCGAAAGAAAGCATTTCACAAAATCGATTCTCCCCTGAATTACGCTGGCGTTCTGAATCAAGTTCAAAAATTGTCGACTGTGCTCTGGAGCAATTACTCAATAGTTTATACAAGTTCGGATAGGCTATGGATTACCCGCGGATTGGCAGTGGTGGATTTGGAGAAGTCTATCTTGTTAAAGGCAAGACGAGGTAATTTATTACGAGTATGAATAAAAAATTTGTTTGATTGGTAAAATTCCAGCCATTTTCGTCGGGATTTCAGTCGATTAAAAAATTCTATTAATTATAGGACATATGCCGTGAAATGTCTACACAAGTCCGTCGGACGAGCGCGCCATTTTCAAGATGAGCTAGCTCTCTTGAGAAGCCTCATGCACAAAAATATCGTGCGCTACTACGACCCCCCAGATGATTGCGATTTTTACAACCCGGATCGCAAGCTAGCGATTTTTATGGAGTATTGCGGAGGCGGGAGTCTGGATTCAGGTTCGAGAGCTATCTCATCAATTTCAAGGTAGGAGATTGTATAGGTCAGGAGTCAAATTTTTCTTTTCCTCTGGCACAAAAAATGACAGTATGAATTTATAATAAGAAGCAACGCGCTATTTCAAACCTCTGGAAATCACGTGAGCAAACTAAAGAGCGTTAGCGGGGTAGCTATTTTGGATCAAAAAGGCCCTTAAAAAGCTAACCACCTCAAAGGCCGGATACCGAGGGGCTCTATCATCCCAATCGTCTCAGAGTTTAAATGGAAGCGACTACCGTTTTTGTTTCATTATGCGGCTATCCACCTGGGCCATAAAAGTGAATTTTTAGCAATTCACGACCCTGAGATGACTTATAATGTGCCAGCGGTTATGTTGTGGGCTCGCGACCTGGTGGACGCTTTATGTTATCTACAAGAAAACAACGTAGTCCACCGCGACATCAAACCTCATAAGTGAGGAAAACCGACTTGAAAAACCGGCCCAAGAGAATTGCAAGTTGCAAGTCATAAGGGTCCCTTTATGATTTTTTTCAACTCTTTTTTTTTGTTATTTTTTTATTATCATAATCCGCGCGCACGCCTATTTTCACGCCCTAAGCCCGGTAAGGAACACAAAACCCAATAGGAAACATTTTGAAAACGGGATCTTTTTGGAGTGGCCGATTACCCAAGAGCTACTTGGCGCAAAGCCAAATTCGCGGGCCGCATAGTGCATTGCCATAGGGAGGTCGCCTGCTTATTGGCATAGCTGTTATTGCAGAAAAGTCAGTCAGATTTAAAATCCTATTTGTTTCAATAAATCGACAAGAAAAGCGACCGCAGCTAGTTTCAAAGATATTGGAAACCAGCGCCCAAAACTCGCTTCGCGGGCCTTGGGCGCTGGAATCAGGCTTTTACATGAGAAATTTGACTTTCCGAAAGCTCTGGTCCTTCGGACCCGCCCCTCCCCCGACCAAACTCGCGAGTGCAACTGGCAAGAATGAGGAAATTTCTATTTTTGCACATTATGCAAATTAGCTCTGCAACGCCCAAAAATTTAGTAAAACCGGCTTTACTTTGTAAACTTGTATTTTTTCGCGATTCTGAAAACGCCATCGGAAAAAAGGAGGGTCGATTCCTCCTAGTAACGGAGAGTTGGGGCGTTTTGAACACGGGAAAGCCCTCAAATCGGGCCCCGAAAGTGATGGCCGGACACACACACACACACACACACGCACACCCAGAGATACACCCCAAAATTATATAAGGTAGGATATCCCGGGATCTTTTTAATGTTTACCGTTTAGCATTTTACTAGCGTTGGATTATGTTGTTAAAGTCGCGGATTTCGGAATCGGGCGAGTGGCTGATGATTCATGGGAAAATGGATTCGCTGGAACTCCGGCTTATATGGCTCCAGAAATAAAGGGCGGAATCAAACTTTCTCGAGAGGCTAGTGATCTTTGTCAGAAATTCTAATATATTTTAGCAACTTTTTAAATGCGACGTCTATGGACTCGGAATCGTGTTATGGGAGGTGTTAATGAGGAGGAGATACGCTTGGGCATTGCGGTAAGACTCTTCGAATTTTGTTGCGTTGGCACCCCTTTCCCTATCAAAGGCTTGTTGTTTTGACGAAAAAGCTCCGATCGAGCCTGGTTCCAATACACACACCGGTCCAGCCAGCTTCAAAAGATGCGCTATTAAATTCGAAAAGTGAACACCGCCAACCGCGCCTTTATCACTGCCGTTTCGGCCCCCTGTATATCTCAACTATCTGTCCATCCCGTCCGTTCCGGCCTTTAGAATCCGAATTCAATATGAAGGAAAAAAAAAGCGAGACCTTAGTCTCAGTGGCTTTAAGTTGATTCCAACCTTATCAAGCCAAAAATTATAGACATAAACGCTCAGAAAAGATTTTTAGGACGTAAAATCAGATCCTTGCAATGGGTATGGTTCTCTCGGGACTAAGATTCAGAACGGCGAAATTGCATATTAATACCTTTTTTGAGTACGGCTATATACGACGCAATGGAAGAGTTGGCTGTGCCTGGAGCCGAGCATCTGTGTGTTCTGGTCCAGAGGTAATTGCATCGCTCCTGAAAAATACTTCGCGTACCCTGGAAAACCACTCCAGTGGGCCGGTGAAACATCGGATGTTTGGATATTTTTGTATGTTCTTGGGGTGTTTGGAACGCCAAACGACAGAACTTAGAAATACAATTGTATATTGGAAAAACCTGTACACAACGTTTAAAAATGGATTACAAACTGGTGCTCAAACTAACTAATAACCAATAAAAACTAATAGGACAGCATACAGGATACTGGTTTCCACATTGGGATATTTGCGAAACGTATGCAAAAAAATTTATTCTGTGGCCAAAACCATGTACTCGGTTACGCTGCAAACAGGATGAATGCGAAAAAGCTTGTCAAAAATCTGTAATGACCTATAGTTATTTGTAAAGCAAGCTTTTACCATATTAAGGGCCTCCGAAGCAGATCATATGGAACGGCCAAGCGCTGAAGCACTGAGGACGACGTGTGGTATGATGGTACGGTCAATTTCGATAGTACTCCGGATTTCAAAGTCGCACACAGTGGCTAGCACTTTGCTGTATGATAACTTTTCTTTTAGGAGGCGCGCATCGAGGAGGCTCTTGTGGAGCGCCGGCCTGGTCAGCAGGCGTTAGAGATGCCGAATGGCATGTGGCGTCATGAATCAGAGCCAACTCTTACTTCTCTTATGCCGATTGCAACGACCTTCGATAGCAACATACGACCCCCCATCTGTGGCGGTTGCAAATTGGGCCGGCGCCTTCCCGCTGCGTACCGCCAGGGTAAGACTTGATGATACCAACGATTCTGGTCCAACCAAGAGAACCAAGAGAGGAAACTTAAATTTTTCAAAAACCAAGACACGATAGGTCAATGTGAAGCCATTTCCACTGAGGAAATATAGTAAAAACATACATACTTTAGGTGATCCATACTTGGCTACTTGGCTAAGGAACATGGATACTCCCAGCAATTTCGACGACCTGATCATGAATTTTCGCATAAAGTGGAGCTATTGGTGAGCACCAAGTGCCTAGGTTATAATTAAACCAGATCGTTACAGTCGCTTCGCGACTGTAACCATCTGACCATCTACCCATCAGTTAAAAGGCCGTTTGCGAGCCACCCGAACTAGGCTTGGCACAGTCTGTTTTTCGACCGCACTTTTTTGACGCCATCGGATAGAGCATGGTCGAATTAGTGGGTCTGCATAGTTTTGAAAGTTTGAAAAATTTAATTTGGGGGTTTAAATGGACGTTGAAGTGGCAGACCCCAAAAAATTATCTTGGAAGTTACCTACTTACTTACTTACTTGGAAGACCAAATTCGCTGAAAATTTGCGCCAATACCTAATTTTGGACGGGGTCATTTCTCTAATACATCGCAAAGCGTGAAAATGGCCGGAACTTAGGAATCTGCGTACATAAAACAGTTTTTGGGGATTTTCATTGTGAAGGGTTGTTGGCTGCGCGCTATAAATAACATCGAAAGATGCGCATGAACGTTTTGCATCGAATGGTGTATCATTTAGCGCGCAGACAGTAACCCTTCATATTGAAAAAAGAGCTTAAAAGGTAGCAAAAAGAAAAAATTCGAATATTTATGAAAAATTAGACATGGACGCCTATCTAGAGGGTCCAGCCGCACGATCGCAAAAAAGAGCAAAAAGAAATTCGACTTTTGAGAGGGGGCTGGGATTGAACTCGGGTCGTTCGCCTGGGACCTGGCGGCGCCCACTAGCGGCTGTCCCCAGTGCCCTGCAGGCGGACCATCGCGGGTTCGTTCCCCGCAAATCGCCATTTCCGAGTCGGAAGGGAATTTTTTTTGCTCTTTTTTGCAATACATAAAGTTTTATCTTTAGACCTTATACCCGTTTCCGAATATGAAGGAATTCCGAATTGGAAAATTTCCGAATATTTTTTGAATATGAAGGGTTACTGTCCGCGCGCTAGATGATACACCATTCGATGCAAAACGTTCATGCGCATCTTTCGATGCTATTCATAGCGCGCAGCCAACAACCTTCACAACGAAAATTCCCAAAAAGTGTTTTATGTACGCGATATTCCTAAGTTCCAGCCATTTTCACGCTTTGCGATGTATTAGAGAAATGACCCCCGTCCAAAATTAGGTATTGGCGCAAATTTTCAGCGAGTGGTCTCAGCCACGCTTTCCAAGATAATTTTTTGCGGTCTGCAACTTCAACGTCCATTAAAACCCCCAAATTAAACTTTTTCGACCATGCACAATCCGATAGCGTCAAAAAAGTGGGGACGAAAAAAAACTGTGCCAAGCCATATTGAGGTCTGTTCGGGTGACTCGCGGATTTAATACATCACCATATCGATCCCTACCACCATCAATAGCTACCAATACCATACCGGTTAAAAAGCTACTAAGGTACCTCTCTGAGCGCTTCAGATACCCTCCCCCCTACCGAAACTCCTCTAGGAAAGAGGATACGGTGCCCTCCGTCCAAGAAGTTACGGTGCCCGCCGTATCCTTTCCCGAAATCCCCCTAAAAACCACTAACATGCCTCCCTGATCCCTTCCACTTGGCTGTCAGATATCCAGAGAGGCGCCCGTGAGAGGTGGGGTCGCTCCACAGCGTTCCTATGCCCGCGCGCACACTATGCTTGCCTACCGATCCATGATTTTCGAGAGAGAGGCAAGAAAGAGGCCAAAAAAAACTCGCAAATTTTCAACTTCGCAAATGCCTATAACTTTCCGAAAACGACGTTGTTGTGGGGAGTCCACCGATACGAAATATAGAGAAGACTCTTGCGCACATTATGGGAGGGGTTTTAAGGGTGATTTTGCGTGAAAATAAGGATTTATCTAGGATTTTAGCCGGAAAAATCGCGAAAATACGAGCTTGTGCGCCGCATTTTTCTTTGCGTTTAGCCGCATTTTCCGGGTTTTTTTTCTTCGATATTCAACGGAAAAGAATAGGTACTGTCAAATTGGGTACTTCTGCGGTCCTGGGAAGTTAAAGGTGCTGAATGAGGAGATCCTAATAATTGAACAACTGAAGCTAGTCAAAGTTTTCAGCTTTGTACGGATGAAGGGGCTTGAAATCATTGAATTGTGGCTAATTTGGGCAGTACATGTCTTTGTTATTATGATATTCCCTTATTGAGCGAATCGGCACCATTTGAGAGAATTTCTTCTTTAGAGCCCGGGAAATAGCAAAACTTTTTATTTTCCGCTTGGGCTTCTCTTTAGATCGGTTTTGGATCCCCTTCTGTACCTTTTGCAAAAAAGTGCAAAAACCCTAACCAGTTTCTGTCGGTCAGGGAGGAACCGAACCAGCACCTTCCGCCTGGAGTTGGGACCGGCGCCTTAGACCACTAGGGCCATCTTCCTCCCCGCCCCCATGCGCGCCCTGACAGGCAGAAGCTTCAGATACCACCCATAGCCAAAACCCCCGTAACCAAAACCAAATACTCCCCCGTGGTAAGAGGATATGGCGCCCACATCATAGGAAGATACGGTGCCCGCCGTAACATCCATCCCTCATATTTTAACAATCCAGTTTAAACTATTAAAATTAAGTTTGAAAGTTTTGATCTTGGTCAGTTTGGGACTTTCTGACCGCATTCTATCCGGATCCGAAGAGAATCTGGGATACGGTGCTGGGGAAACGGAAAGGGGGATAAGGTGCTCGCCGTATCATAGCCCATATTTTATAACGTTAGTTTTAGTAATTTAAACAAAAGTTTCAAGAATTTTTTTTATCAGTTTGGAAGTTTCTGACCGTGCTCTATTCGAATCCGAAGAGACCTAAGCTCTAGCTTCTTCCTCCTTCGGGTTGAATTCGGCGTCACACACACACGAACACCTCTAGCGAATTATTATAGTTGATCCCGCGATATAAAAAATGTATTCGTGTGTATATTTGCACGCAACTTCGGGCTGATAATCCGAACCTATGGCTTCCGGGAAGCCTCTTTGGATAAGGATGACACGTCAATAGGTGTAGAATGGCGATTTGCACCGTTAAATCAACCGCCAGCGCCCCGTTGGTCAGAAATAATTAGCATAGACCAACAGCGGCTCCGCTTTTTTATACAGGGTGACGACGGTATCAACACACTTTGCTCGGAAATAAATTCTTTTTAGTTTCAGAAGCACTTTCTAGCTCAATAGAGACCTTTTAAGGGTGTGCGCGATGACCGATCAAACGGCGTTTCCGGTTTTGTCCGAAACCTTACCCAGATTGCCAGGCTGCCCAAAAAAAGCGTGAACCTATAAATATGATGCGCGCTGTATTTGTTGAATACCAGCCGCTTACAGCCGCTGGGCT